ATGGTGTGGATCCATGGAGGTGGACTTGTGCTGGGCGGGGCCTCTACCTATGATGGCCTGGCCCTCTCTGCCCTCGAAAACGTGGTGGTGGTGACCATTCAGTACCGTCTGGGCATCTGGGGGTTCTTCAGGTAAGTTTCTCGGCTCTCCTCACTGTGCTTGGCTCCCACTGTGAAGCTACCAGGACCCAGCTCTGGTCATCTCAGTGCTCAGGGACCTTTGCTGAATTCCTTGAAAAAGGCATCCCATTCTCTTCATAACGGGTCACCTCTTAACCGCTCATAACCTAGATACTCTTTTTCATTTGCTTCTGAGCTATTTTTGTTGTTGTTGAAACAGAGTCCCACCCTATGCCCTGAGCAGAGTGTAATGGTGTCACACCTCACTGCAAACTCAGACTCAGGTTGTGGGCATCCTGCTACTTTAGCCTCCAGAAGCCACTGGAATTATAGGCACTCACTGTGGCGCCTGGCTGTTTTTTTCATTGTTTTAGGACTCAGGGTCTCACTCTTGCTTAGGCAAGTCACAAACTCCTGAGCTCAAGCAATTCTCCCTCCTCAGCCTTCCACAGTGCTGGGATTACAGGTGTGAACCACCACACCCAGCTGCTCCTGAGCTTTTTGCGTATGCTCTTCCCTCTGCCTAGAATGCTTACTCTAGCTAACATACTCCTATTCATCCTGCAAAGCCCAGCCCATATATTCCCTCTGTGAATTAGTCATCTCCTTTTCACCTCTGCTGCACACTGCAAGTTCCTCTGTCAAGCCATTAAATGTGGCACAGCAGTGAAAGTTCACACATCTTCCTTCTCCTGGGAAACTAAGTGCAGGCTGACTCACAGAGGGCACTTGGTGAATGCTAGTGGGTGAAGGAGTGAGTGTTTGGACATGGGAGGTTATCAGAGCATCTTACCCCTGTGAGCCCCCTTCCCTGGAGGTGTTTTGGGGCCCACTCACCCCATATACTGCTTGAAATCTGGTGCATGCTGGGGTCAAGGGTACAGTCTTCTCTGTGGACAGGGAGCAGGTGTCCTCCTGGACAAAGTGACTGTGAGCCTTGTCTGATTGCACCTGAACAGAATTTCTGATGCCTAATGTGATGGGTGAGTGTGGTGAGGTCCACGCACTCATGGGAAGACACCCATGAATGAAGTTGGCTTTAGGAAGATGAGATTTCCTGGAGGTGGCCAGAGGAGTGTATTCCTTGGCACACAGACCAAAATTTATTTTCTCCCATCCAAGTACTTAATGGATTTACCCTGCTAACCAACCCAACCCTGCTTAGCAGGAGAATGGGACAACAGAATGGCTTTACTGGGCCTCCCATTGGGGAGTCCCTGGCCAGTCACCCAGGTGTCACCATCACTGACACTCCACATCCCTTCATCTATGGCCCTAGTGTCTGCTGCCTGTTACAGGAAGACTGCTTCATGCCCTCTGTTCCCCTCCTCCCTGTCTCCCCTCTAACCACACCAGCCAGGTTTTCCTGAAAGTACCACTAAGATATTTCTGTTGAGGTTTCCCATGACCTCCAACTATTCTCAGCCCAACCTTCCCTGACTCTCAGCAACAGCCACACAGGGTAACTTACCCCTCTGTGACACCCTCCCTTCCCTCTGCACCTGCCACCTCCCACCCTAGGAGCCCCTCCTGCTCAGAACCTTGCTGGCCCATCCGTCTACTTGTCCTCGGGTCTCTGTGTATCTATCTCCCTTCCCACTAACTCCCAGTGACCCCAGGGGGCACTGTCAGAGCTCCCATTTTGGCCATGCCTTTTTTGCCCCCAGACGCTAATCACTAACTCCCTCCTCTGTCCCTACTGACTATCTGAGACCCTCACCCTTCGCAAGAACACACTGAGGCCTGGACTCCCCGCAGCTCATCCCCAACAAAGGCTCCCTGCTCCCCACATGTGCCCTGTACAGCTATGTTGCTTGATCCTCCCAGGTGCCCAGGATGGAGGCCTTGAGGGCAGCCTGGACTCTGCCCTTTCTCTCACCCCCACATCCAGGGGCCAGCAAAGCCCCTGGCTTCACCCATAAACTGAACTCAGGTTCTGGTGAGTTCTCAATCCTCCCTTGCTCCCTCCAAAATCTGTACTATGTGTCTCTGGCCTGATTATTATCATAATCACCTAATGAGTACTTTAGTCACTCTGCTAGTTTTATGCTGTGACTGATGCACACAGTAGCCAGAGGGATCATTTCAACACAGATTGACTCGTGTCATTCCTCTGCACAAAACCCCGCAGTGCCTTCCCATTTACTTACTGCAACATCCAAAGTCTGTACAGAGGCCTGCAGGGCCCTGCTGGCCGCACCTCCTGCGTGGTCTCACTGTTCACTGGGCCCCAGGGCCTTTGCATTTGCTGTTTCTTCTGCCTGGAGTTCTCTTATTTGGATAATGACAAGGTTCATGTGCTTGTTTCCTTCAAGCTTCTCCCAAGATGTCATGGCCTCCAGGAAGCCTTCCTTGGTCATGTGACATGAAGTGTAGTGTCCACCTGCCCCTCCCCCTGCCTTTTTATTTCTCCCACAAGCACTTTCCCTACCAGACAGCATGTTCCACATTGATCTGTTGGTTTGTAGGTGGACTGTACTGAGAGCTGAGTGCAGTCAGAGATTTTCCCAGTTTGTTCTGAGATGTGCTCCAGCTCCTCGGGCAGTGCTGGGCATGGAGTAGATGCTCAGTAAGTCACAGATGATTGAATGCAGAGCCCACAGGACAGCAGTGCTGGGGGAGTGCAGGGAAGGTGAGGGCACCCGTGTGGGGTGTATAGGGCCCAGCCTCATTCTGGATGACTCACTGAGAGCCCCCAGCCCCATGGGGGGCCTGAGAGCCCTGCCATGGAGTTTCTGCTGCCCACCCCAACTTGTTCTCTTACTCACAGCACAGGGGACGAACACAGTCCGGGGAACTGGGGTCACTTGGACCAAGTGGCCGCTCTGCGCTGGGTCCAGGACAACATTGCCAACTTTGGAGGGAACCCAGGCTCTGTGACCATCTTTGGAGAGTCAGCAGGCGGTGAAAGTGTCTCTGTCCTTGTAAGTGTTCCTGGCAGAAGACCGAGTCCTCAGGCTGGTGTGGCAGCTGATGAGACCTCTTGGAGATTAGCCCAGCAGTCAAGCGCCTGTTTGCTTATAGGACCTAGACTGGGGATGGGCTCTGCTTATTGCCCAGAGTCAGGTGGCGAAGAGCTAAGGACCAAACTCTCCTTGGCCCACAGGAAGCTGAGCATTCAGTTTTACATCCTTGGGCCACAAGAGTCTCCAGTTACATTCTGCCATGGTGGCCTTCTTCCTCTTCCAACTTGGTTGAGCTCCCTCTCCCCTTCCTACTCATTTTAACACTAGGACTCAGAAGAAGGACACTTCTTCTGGGCGGTAGGGCTGGGTATAAATGATGAACAGTGGAGGCAAGTATCAGAGTTGGGCAGAGGTCATTGTCTGGTTCTAAGGCAGAACTAAGTGTCCAGGGATGTGAGCCTTGAGGGCAGGCAGGAGCCTCTGCTGAGGTGGTCTGATGGGGCCCTGTGGCCAAGAGGGAGGCACCCTGAGTGGCCAGGTGGGATGTGGGAGGTGCCCTTGTTTTTCCTCCCCACAGGATGAGGAAGGATAGGACTGGGAATGTAGGGCACAGACAAAGCCTAGGGGTGAGAGTTGTCTTGCTGGGGTCTGGGGAGATGCAGAAGGAAGCTGGGATGGGAAACCAGTTTCCTGTGGGAGGCCCTGGAGGCGCCTTGGAGTTGAGTGAAGAGTCAGCCCAGTTACTGATTTTTCACTCTTATGTTGTTTTCCTAGTTGAATACTCAGAGGAAAATGCTTCCATATTCTTAAAACAGATATAAAGGAACATTTCAGAAAAGCCCAAAGACAAAAAAATCTATCTGAAATCCTACTCCTCAGGGGTAGATACTGTGGACATTTTCCATGTATTTTTCCAGTCTTTTTTCATGACTGTCTCCATCAATCAATCTGTTTTTCTATCATCTTTTGTTTTCTAAAACCTTACCAAAATTAACATAACACATGTTAATTAACATAAATCTTAGTATAACATAGTATATATAACATTGTAGTATAACATTAATATTTCCCTAATGTTAAACACTGCTTTATAATATTAACCTTTATAACAGCATAATATTCCATGGCAGTAATGAAGTATTGTTTTTATTCACTCATACAATATTAGATCCTCATTTCCAATTCTATAAACAGCACAGACATACTCAGAAGTCTTTGTGGGTCTCTGTGATCATTTTCCTTGGGATAAATTCTGAGTAATGGGAATCAGTCAGAATGTGTGTTTGGGACTAGCCAAGCATCTTCCTGATACTTTAGATTGCTATGATCTGTGCGTGCCACACTCTTCCTGTTCTGTCCCTGGCTCTGTGTTTGGCTCCATCCCACTGATGTTCTCTAGGGGAAGCTGGGACCAGGGTGTCATGGGAAGCAGGGCAGCTTGGGGAGGAGCCCTCATGCCCACTGACCCCCAGGGGATCCTGGCAAAAGGGCCAGAGAGGAGCTGTGGGTGGACCGTCCTCTGAACATGAACTCTCCTCCTGTCCTCTCCACTCCCAGGTTTTATCTCCCCTGGCCAAGACCCTCTTCCATCGGGCCATTTCTGAGAGTAGTGTGGTTATCTTGGGTCCTATGGTCAAGAAAGACATCAAACCCCTGGCACAGGTAGGTTTCTCACGGGCCCCCCCACAGCCTTGGCCCTATGCTCCTGGTGTCCTTAGGGGCCTTTCCTGCCATGGGACCCAGTGGACATTCTCAAAAGAATCACAGAAGCTGGGTGGACTGAATGGAAAGGGCAGGAAGACACCTTGCTCATTTCTCCAATTTTATAGCTGAGCAAATGTGCAGAGAGTGTGAAAGTACATGTCAAAGTGCACACGGATCAGGGCAGAGATGGGACTCTAGCCTGTAACACTGAACTTCTAATGCATGCACTCCCTATGACCCCAGGCCTCAGGGTTGTCAGGAGACGGTTCATCAAAAGTGATCATGAGTTGGAATGAGAAAGCAGAGCCATCCTTTGTACATGTCAAGCCAAGAGCATTCCAGG